AGATAAAAGTGAAATGGCAAACATCAGTGGAAAACTGGGCAGTTTGACGGCTACCAAGGGAGAAGCTAAAGAAACAAAGGAGGAAGGGTAAGTTACCAACAAAACTCAACTATAATCTTTGAAGTTTTGTCCTGGAATAAGTATTGTTGTTGTTTTTTAATTTCAAAAATAATAATAACTAACAATTTGTAGAGCGCGCGTTCCTAAAAAGTCCTACCAGTCGCTTCACAGTAATCGTACGGTATAAATAAAAAAGAACAGATAAACGAAACTAATATATACTAAAATCTACAGTGAATAAGCGACTTTGAATAAATATGGTTTTTTAGATTCATTTTAAAGGAATCAACCGAGTTGCTAATAAGCTTAACATGCAATGGATAGAGAAAGTTCACAAAGCCTAGGCCGTGGAGACTCGAAAAAGAAGTCCTGCTACCGTAGGTTTTAAGATTTGGGAAAGACGGTTCTACGCGTAGGTGTTTTGCAGAAGAACGAAGGGAACGAACAGGTACATAGGGGTATAACATAGAGCGAATATACTCAGGAGCTAAGTTGTTTAAAGCCTTCCAGGTAATAAGCGCGACCTTGAAGGCAATACGCTTTTCAACAGGTAACCAATGTAGTTCAATCAAAGTATCATATATTATCATACTTCCTTTTCATGGAAATTAGTCTGCGGCAGAATTAAGCACAAACACTTAGTAGAGTAGTCAATTCAGTCAATTCCTGAAAAAAGTTAAGTTTTCAATTAACAGTAAGTGTAAAACTTGGTTTTCTTTTTTCGTTGTTATGTCTTGAACACAGAAACTTTAAGTTACCTTACAATTTTGATTAAAACTTTAGCTGGAGCTAATTTTGATCCCAGAAAACATCAAAGACAAACTTGAGCAGATAAAGAGTTTAAATGATAAACATCAAGGAAAAGTTGGAAAACTTGAGAATACCAAGAGGAGAAAGCAAAAAAAACAGTTCTAGGAAATGTTAACACCGAAAACATTCCGCGTTATCTATGACCAACGAAACCCTTCTTTGTATTATCAGGTATGCGCACCTGTTTACCATGACGTACTCAACCACATGACCATTAATTGTCATTTACTAATAAAGAGGAGTTGTATGTACTTTGTGTAGCAATAACGTCATGTACATATTTACAACAAAAACATATTACATGGTGAGCTTCAATGGCTTAAATGTGTCGCATGACTAGATCGTACTTAAACAAGAGTAAATGTTCATCTTCAGAAAGCATCAGAGACTCGCTAGAGCAGACGAGAAGTGAAATAGAATATAATAGTGTTTTTTTTAATATTTCATTTCAAACAACTTGTGACTAATAGTAAACAAACGTGACAAATGTCTTAGAAATCCGTCCAGTTTTCAATTAACCATAAATACAAACCTGCTTTTATATTATAGTACGTCATTAAGTTACCTTGTAGCTGATTAAACTAAGCTGGAGTTCATTTTTATCCCCAGAAAACATCAAAGACAAACTTGAGCAGATTAAAAGTGAAATGGTAGACATGAAGGAAAAAGTTGGAAAAATTGAGAATACCAAGAGGAGAAAGCGAAGAAAAAGGTAAGTTCAAGAAAGATTTTACAACGACAAATTATGTATTATCAGGTACGCGTACCTGTTACCATGACATGAGGGGAAAGTTGGAAAACTTGACAATACCAAGAGGAGAAAGCGAAGAAAAAGGTCAGTTCAAGAAACTTTTAGCAACGAAAAAACTCCGCATTATGATGACCGACGAAAACAAAATTGAGGCGAAAGCGAAATAGTGAAGGCCAAAGAGATTTAACTTTCTGTGCTGAACCATCCTTTGTATTCTTAGGTATGTGACCATGACGTACATAATCACATGACCATTATTTTTTAATTAGGAATAAACTGGAATAAATAGGAGTTGCATGTACAATACGTCATGTACAACGAAAACATATTACATTTACATTACAACGGTTTAAGGTGGCCCGCGGTTATTTATTGGAGCGGAGGCTCCCTTTTTAAAAACTAATTTTTCGCATGAAAGCGTTAACCGATTTCTGTAATTTTTGGTAATCCGAACAAGGAATCTTCAAATTATAGAAGGCTTTTAATTTTAGGGCAATCGGAATAAACGATTAAGAGATACAAGCGTTATTAAAAGACCTTGTTTTTTAAGAAAACGCGAATATTTTCATAAAACGAAGATAGATTTTTTTCTTATTACCTTCAATAAGTTCCAAGACTTCAAGGTTTACTGTGAGCAAGTTCCACAAAAACGGCTGCACAGAAATTGCTACACAGTTCACTGCTTAATTTTCACTTCAAAATGATATGCTTGTGTATTTCTTCAGCTGTTGCAAGAACGCTAAAATAATTATTATATCGCACCTATCATTGGAAAGCTTAATGTTATCTAAAACTTTGCTGAATAATCGGAAAAGATCGGAAACTCCAAGGAAAAGCTATAAGCGAATGAAGAACAAGATGTTTATGTGCGTAATTTGTGAATTTAAAGATATTCAAGTTTGTTCGACTTTTGAAAAAACTACCGATTTGTTTTCGCTTATTTCTAAGTATGATAAAATACAGCATATATACAAACGGCCTAACCTTGTTTCAGACGTGTAGCGTCGATGAAGCTCGGAGAATTTGGCTCGTCAATTTAGCTGCTTCATGTCTTCCATTTTACAAATGCTAGGAAAACCCCTCGTGTTCCGTTAATTATTCAAACTTGCCGCGTTCTGGAATTTATTTGTTACTTGGGAATTACGGATCATCGAACATTT